CTTTTTTTGAAGTCGGTTGAAAATGAACATAAACATAAAATTGGAGTAGGTTGATCTGCAGGCCATTGAACATGGTGTTCCTTTGTTTAAGAAAAAAATTCTGCCTCATATCTACCTCGTTGTTATCCACCGTAGTCAAGCTCAAACTCATACAGTGCCTTTAGTCATTTATTAATGTTATTAATTACTGGTAATTGGGTACCGTAACTTATTTACACTTGCAACACCAGAGGTATCACAAACGTGATCCGGATCATGTAGGAAACTGATTGCGTCATCGTTTCTGGGGAGGAGTTCCCCTGAAAATGATATCGCAATCAAACTGTGGATGGACATCCGGAACTCTCGGTTACAAGACGAAACGCAATAATTTACGTCACCACCTAACGCTAGCAGCAGCTAGGCTCTACTACTTGGGTGGCCAACAAGTCGATCGCGATCGACCGGTCGATTATAATTCCAGGCGATCGTGGCAATTAAAAAAAATGTAATACGTACATACAACACATTGCACAATGATATTACCATCGGCAATAATATTACCAAGAATAATTTGTAGTTTTAACTCTACGAAATGTCAATTAGGTAGGTACATAGGTAACATGAATCTTCGAGTATTCGTAAGTACTTACACTACCTACCTAGTCACCTCACACTACGAAAGCCGTGGACGATAAGAAAAACTTGCTTTCATTGATAAACACTGCTTGCGTAAACGATGTTTTTCAATGACGGTGGTGATAAGGCGCCGTCAGCGCCATGGCAATGGCGCCACTTTCAGATAAAAATAACGTGCCTACCTAAGTGTGTCCCTACTTCCCTAGCCCTAGCTATATAGACTAGTAGGCACACCATTAAGCTAGCCGGAACATGTTTTTGGAATTAATCAAAACATCTTTTCCAAGTGACAGTTTCAAAGTACTTTTACCTATTTACTCACCTACTTTTTGGCACGTAGTACGTACATAAGTAGGTATTCATGTCCGAAGTAAACAAGTATTTCACAGAATTTAGCAACATATCTAGTTTGTAATCAGCGAAAAAATGCCTTGATTGCACGAGTAGATACCTGCTTTATGTCCTGAAAATTACTAAAAAGTAATCTTGCTTAGGTATAACAGTCCAACGGTGGTGACTGGTGACAAATGTTCGAGTTGAAAAAGGAATATATAAGGATTTACACAAGAAGACGTTTATAGAAGAGCCCAGACACATACATCTATACGTAATTACATTTTTATTTATGTTTTTGCTGTAGTCTAGCTCTTTGAGAATTCAGTTCTTCCCAATTATTTCTTTGTAAATGGGAATAACATACACGGGCAAATTGGAGGTATATATTTAGTTCGTTCAGGCACATTAGACTAGTGATGGATACCTATATACTTTTGTATTGCGGGTAGTTTTTAATTACTTTTGGAGCTAATAATAAAATTGTCAACAACACTGCATAACCAAAATAACCATTTACCATCATGGCCGCCTCAAGTACAAGTGTTAACAGATAATAAGCCCAAACAGATTTCCACTGATCTTTGACCGTTCAGCAATTTGTTGATAATAATTTTGGTCAACAAAAATCTTGATATATTTGTACCTATTAAACTTTGTAGGAAACATTGACGTCCTTTGTTAAGAAGGTATTTAACGGTACATTATTGCATTTCTCTTATTTAAAAGTTAGGACAATCACATTGCCCCACTGTTGGTTACATAAATTGCTAGCCTACAGTCGTGTCGCGGAGAACCTAACGGGTAACCGGGGCTCCGGCTCGACGTGCAGGAGAAGAACGGGGTGGTTTTTAGTCAGTAAGAGTCTGACACTCCCTCCCGCCTCACCCAGGCGGGAGCAGTCATTCGATGATTTTCCCCCCTTAAAAAAAAAGCCTATAGTCGTACCTACTAATTACTTAGTAACTTACCAACTTACAATATTTTGGTAGGTACAAATAAAATGTAAACAAAATGCTAACTCTCTGTCACGATCACGAAAGCCCTGAGAGAAGCCGAAAACAGGACAAGATGGAGGGAAATAACACAGAGAGCAATGAAAGCCTTTCAGGGGCACGACCGTCAGATATGAAGCAAGCGATCGAGAAGACTAAAATATGTTGATATTGTTTGTAAACTATATAGTTACACCATTTATAGTTCATACATTTATGTGAAGACGTGGCCTGGCGGTTTAATAAAGAACAGCACCAGCTTCTTCAGCTCAAAGGATGCTTTGGTCTTTGGTAGCTCGTAGCAAGTCCAGACACTCACTGTTCACCTAGTGACAGATGTAATCAGTTGAGTAAAAGGATTAATTCTTGACGATAAATTAGGAATAATTAAAATAATACCCAATATACCTGCAATAACGTCGTGTGAATGTAGGTCATCGACTTGCACGACATGCCCTCTTGATTACCTATCTTGAATAAGAGTCCCGTTGTGACATGAAACTAATAGAGCTTTGTTCTGAGAACTCAAACGAACAAGCCAAATAGGTATTTCGGGGTTTTTGAATTTTGTTTTCGGGCCTTTTATTGTGCCACATACCTAATGCAGGGCATAATAGGTTTTATCAATTATTATCAATGCACACCATAATTCATAATAGCACAACAAATGGCCTGCTGGTTATGTAGTTATACCTTTTATCTTTATCTGTAATAGTGTAGATACCCAATTTTTTTTTATTTTAATTTACGTCTGGTAGATTATTTTAAATTTATTAGACATGTATTTTTATTTTCTTACAGTTAAACGAATACTTACGACGATATATTAATTTAAAATGTCGCGTGACGCCACTTCTATGTACATTTTATACGTAGAAATGACGTTTTAGCCCCCACTCCTAAACTTTGATTCGTTTTATCCTAGTATTGTTTTATTATACGACAAAATAAAAATTACGTGTCTACTATTTTTTCATTACCTACCTTACGGACTAATTAGATTTTTAATTTTCATACCCTGTCATCATCCCAATTCTGTACCATGGCGCATGGTAGGTATTCTAATTTCTGTTATTTTTTTTCCGAACTCTTGAATGAGCTTTTATCACCTGGACGTGAACCAAGTACTTAATTGAAAGTAAACAAATGTCACATACACTGTACATGATATACATTGTTTATAATGACATATTTTTGGTAGGTACGTAGAGTTCGTAAGTACGCGCCAGATTGATAAGGATGGTTATTTTCGCCAATTACGACAACAATCGATAAAGTTCATGTTGTATAGCACACGGTATACATCTGCGCTTTGCATAATTTGAATTTAAACAGATATTTACTGTTTTACTTTGTATCTTCAATATTACTTTCGATTTAGTCAATATATACGGTCCCTATAAGTGTTCAAAGGTTCTTTAGATCAGTCTTTCTCACCGGAGCTGCGGACGACCTATCGTGCTAACGGGGCTCCGTGTAGGAACAGGGCGTTTATTTAGTCAGGCAGGCTATTCTATGGTTAGAGCTTAATTGTTCAGCTGTTCTACGTAGTTTTAGCACTCCCTGCACACTCACTGCACGATGATAGTGTTTGGCCGCTTGTGGTCTAGCCCTTAGTGGCAAACTATGTTATATGTTAAATATGTTTTTTATTAATGTCTTAATCACCACGCTGCACCTCCATTCCAGACTACTTTGCATTCCATACGAGATGGCTCGTTCTTTTCATATGTCTTTTCAGAACATCCTTATATTATTATCTCAGGTATTTGCCACTCTGCTGAACTTGAGAACTTGGGCAATCTATCGTTCGACATTTCCAACGCAGTTGGGGCCTCCTGAATGTCACATCACAGGTTTCGATACCTCTGAAGTTTGCACTACGAAGATTGGTACAGTGGAACCCCAGTAATCCGACCCCCGGCTAATGCGGCACCCTTATAATCTAACACCGCTTATTACATAATGTATTCGCTAATTCCCGGTTGACCAAGTTACAACTAGTACGCACCATCACTATTTAGCTCGACGCGTAGGGTAATTAAATAAACAAAGTAGTTTAAAAAAATCCAACTACTCCGTATGTGAAAGCAGAAGGTGCAATTAACGCCTTTGAGCTGGAAGAAGATGGTGCATCCTACAATTAACTTCTTCTTTTAAGAAGGCTAAGGGAATTACGGACACGAAAGATCACGACGCTTGACGTGGAACATTCGGTGGCAGGAGCCAACGAATTTTCATATCTCGCAGACACTTTATAGCTTTACAGTTTACACTTTAAACACTCAACTAATAGTGACGTTGAAACTACGAAGAAGTACAGTAGGTCACGTGGGCAAAGCCTTCGGGTAAACGCTAGGAACGTACTACATACACGGAACCAAGAACCTTTTACTTTTCAAATTGCTATTAGGTGGTTAGGCACCCACTTCATTCTTACATAATTTGTATTGGTTATTATTATTCCAACAATTACACAAACACGAAACAAATAATTAGTCGTCTCAATATTCTCAATCCAAAATTATTGGAATTGTCGATTTTGACATTTTCTGTTAAAAATCAAGATAGACCCAGCGGTTTTGGATCAAGATTGATTATAATCTATTAATTACGGTCGTCAAACGGGCTATTAGTTAGTTGCCTCGGTAAATTCTAAATAAATATAAATTTTAATTCCTTATTTTATTAGACTCATAATAACCTACCTCAGTAGGTACTAGCTATATACATATTATAATCTTATTCCGAAATTCATACTTACCTAATGAAGTAGATTTAATTATAAATTTAGTTAATTAGCTCATTCATGGTTTAAGTATAAAAAAATCCTCTCACTCCCATCTAAATACATAATACCTACCTATATTCATACTTATTGGAATCGCAGGTTATACCCAATTTATATTTTGCTACGTTAGTTAAACCCTAGAGTGCATAGAGGAAGAACGCGCCCTGAGCGTCCCATTGGACTGAGCAAAAAAATAAGCACGCGAGCTGAACGGGCGAGCCGAGCCGCATTCCTCGACTGGGTCGACGGCACGGCATGCCCCGCGCTCTCCGCTCCCTCTCCCTCAGTCGTTCGCGCGCGTCGTTTGTGATAACTCGTCTGCGCGTTATCCGCTGTTTGCCGCGTATTATGTTTACAATAGTGTTGTTATTGTTTTCGTTATTATAAAAAAATACATAATTTAAGTGTTTTGTGCTGTGTTCCGAAGTGCAATATAGAATTGAAACAGTTCAATATTAAATTGTGGATCACAAGGAGCAGACAAGCACGGCAAGCACCGAGCTCAGGTAGCGTTTCGTATTTGTTTTGGACATGAATACGGATGAAATAACTAGATTTAGTTATCACAGTTTTAAGGGTTAGGTTACATTATTGTTTTAAATATAATACTGGTTAATTGTAATAACAGAACCACGTGACCATATGAATGCTTAGTGCACACCACGTGGTGTGAGCGGTGGTGTAAACAACTCTGTGCCCTTCTCCGCAACGAACGACGCGGTGGCGGGCGGCGCGGCGCAGAGGCGAACGATATGTGCGCGATGGCGGCGGAGAGCGGTGACAACGGTTTGACGGCTGCTTCCATGATCGTATCCGTTAAAAGAAGATAGATATTATTTTAAAATTGTGAATAATATCTATAACTGAAAATAATTTCTGAGGCCAAAATCTCATGAGTATCTGGGAAGGTTTGAAATACCGATGTATAAAGTATGTAAAAAAGATTTTCTTGTTGGTGTCTAGTTAAATCTCTATAACTTTTATCCACTGCAGTGGTAGCATACACTAGCATACCTACTTTAATACTTTGTAGATATGTAAAAAATGCCTATTTTATATAGATTAATTGAGAGTGTTTATCTAGTGGTAGGTTAATCTTTCGATTTAGGTACGGTAATATCCAGGTAGACTACAATATCTACATATTCAATCAAGTAGATATTTGTAATTATTACACACTGCATGATTGCATCCATCACTCAATAGCGAAGTATCAATCAATATTACCTATAAAATAACATAAAATTATAGTTCATAGGTAAGTACCTAACTAAATGTCCTTCCATGATTCGGTTTTCTATGTAAGTAGTTGCAAGCAGATTTACATCTGTAATTAGGCATGCCAGTTTTATTATTGTATATTTTGTATTTGTAGTAGACATTGGAATATTAAGAATTTGTTATCGATAAGAGAGTGCGCAAGAACATACACCTTGAAGTCTTATCAAAACAATAATCCGAAAACAACGTTTTTTACAGCTCGCTTGGCCTTGAATTAACTTGTTGATGCGATCTGTTGCATTCTTTGTTCAACGTATGCTCATTGCTCAGTGTAAGAACTGAGATTTATAAATGTCTTCTCTTCTAAGACCCCGTTCACACTATACCGAGGCCTGACAGGCTCCGGGACTGCTAAGTAACTGACTATACCCACTCAATTAAGAATGCGAGAGGAGGGTGACCAGGATACACCTTAATAGAGCGCAAACTTGTACACACACACATTACTTACCCCAGTCCTGGATATCTTTCTGCGCTGCGCAGCGAGAAAACACTTGGGCTGAAAATTTCGGTACTTAACGGTAATTTTTTTACCGGATAAATAGTTACATACCTATCTATAACTACAAAGTTTTTGTTTTTTGACATTCTGGTTTGCATTTTTCATAGACGTTACATTAAACGTGCCGGCGAATTTACCGGATCGGAGTGGGGTATGAACGAGCCGTTTCGCATTTTCTTTCATTTTCATTTTATAAATGCAAATCCTCTTTGCCTACATACTTTTAAAGCATTAAGAAAATAAACACCGCTGTGTACCTCTACAGGTATTAATTTGTGTTATTACTAAGGATTCGTGTACTCAAACGGCCGTCGGACTGTACATTGACTCTTTCACAGTTACCAATTACAAATTAGATACCAGCAATACATAGAAATATCAATTTTAAAAGGAAAATAAAACAAAACTTAATATCAAAACTTTTATCTATTCATAGAAATATAGGTACTAATGAGTAAACGACAGATAAGGTACACAATTACTTATCATTCTGTTATGGTGTCGTTATCTAACTATTTTTATACATTTTACAAAACATTTGCGTCAATCCAAATAATTAAAATTGTAAATCGTATGTGGCACTGGCTACATGTCATTTTTATTTTTGTGCATTTGGCAAAATTCAAAATTTGGCAACGCCTCATACAACGGATAATAAATCGGAAACGCGGAAAGAAAAGAACGGAAGAAACCCCCACTCCACATGGATAAGATTTTACGTAGTTGCTTCTTAAGTGCGTTCGCGTTCTTCAGGGGGTGGGGGTGCAATGTTTTGGGTATGGAGCCAAGCACGCGCCGCCGCACTGGTCGCGGTCTGATCGATCGTGCTGCGCTGCGCTGTTCTATCTATTATTTATTACCAAAAATATGGCGGCGTGGTGCGGCACGAGGTCGTCGACCTCACTGTCCGCCACGACACGCCGCGTAAACAACAAATGCAGCGCGGGAAAGTCGTCCCCTCCCTATCTGCCAAGGTTTACCCGCGTGCCGTGTGTTGGACCTTGGTGCAATCATGACGTTTTCTATCTCAGACCAATTAACAACGTGGTTGTATGTATTCCAGGACTATACCTGCCACAGAAGAGTGGATTATTTTTGTTGAAGTTCTGTCCCACAGCCCTTATAAACTTCGATAATTAATAATGTAATTAAATTCTTATGTATTGTTTACGTAATGGCTTGAAACTTACTATTCATATTTATTATGATATTAACCCAATTAGTAAGTTAAGTACTATGTCGACACTCAGTTTACCTCTATACTAGATTTTGCTGAAGGTACCATGGTCCATCAATCTGTTTATGTTTAGATTTTACTAAGTGTAAACAATCTTTATACAACTTTTATACGAAATTGTGGTTAATAATGAAAGCGAAAGGTCGGAATAGCAGTTTTAAACTAAAACAGTTAGATACCTAATTGACTAAAGTTACTTTTCAAAATAATATTTTATGTGTAAGTTGTGCTAAGTTTGTTTACTTGTAGTTAACTTTACCGAGCGTATAGGGTACGGTTCGATACGGTAACTATTTTATTTGTCCATATTTAAATTTAGCTAAAGTGAAGTAACCAGAGAACACAGAAAAACAGGGAGCAATAGGTAAATAAAACAATGAAAAAAGTAGAGATTTTTATAGTTAGTGCAGTTTCTTCTTTTGTTTATTTCGTCGTTGGTGGTATTGGTTAGACTTTAGATTTAGAAGATCTGAAAATATCAACACTACTTACAATTTTTGGTTTGGTTTGGTAGGTTTAATCCAATACACCTCTAAAGGAAATATTAGGGTGTCTATTTATTCTATATCTCTTATCTTTTATAATTTTCATTTATATTTTAATTTTTTTCATACATTCATTTAAATTATAATCTATTATAATTAATAATTATAATTATAATAATCTATTATAATTTAATAACTATAATTTATTTTTAGTCTACAGTACATAATTTTGAGTTTCGATTTCGTCATGCTGGTAGTTATATTAATAAAATCAAAAGGAATGTCCTTATTTCACTCCATGTTATCAATATTTTGAGCGTGGGCGCTTTGTATTGTATTATTGTACAAATACGCCGCTCTATTAATATCAACCTACTCTCGCAAAAGGTATATATATATATATATATATATATATATAGAGGTATATATAAAATGACATGAGTACTTTGTCACATTGCAGGAATAATCTACGCAATAATAATGTATTCCTTAATTCCTGGTTAGTAAAATGTAATTTTTATATACCTAGGTAGGTAATTGCGGTTGTTTTGTTCAATACCTAACGTGTTTCTTAATTAATATTTTCCTGTTACGGGCGTGTCGTGGGAACATCGAAGGCTCCCACGCTAATTACCGCGGTCTTTATACACTCATTGGCCTCCGCGAGCCGACACTTTGATCAATGAAATTTATATTCATCAATGAAACCACTATTGTTGTACGTACAATAAGGTTGGCAATTTGCAGAGAAGCTATTGTGCGTCACTGTGAGATAATGATTTATTATATTAGTGCATGACGTTTGTGCGCGGAACTCGTTTATTTATCCAACCTATGTAACTTCATGATATCCGAATCATAACCACCAATATTGTCTACAAGTGGTCGATGTTGACTTAAAGGTTAGGAATTTAGTCAAATAAGCTACGTAAGTACATCGGTTCTAATGTTTTAAACCGTGTTAGTATGTTAACTATGTGACGCGTCACTTAGAAAAGTAAAACTACCTAAATATTCAATTTATACGGGTATCAAAATTACATTATTAGAAAGTAGATATAAATATATATGTATATATACTAAAAAATATCCTTTCCAAACCAATCCGTTCAGACGGATCGTCTTGATGGTACTTACATGGTGAGCCCATGAACACCAACGCTCCGAAATCTTAAATTTATTTGTGAAGTTTCCTGAAAATCTTTTTCTAGCTAGGTGTGAGGACCTAAAGGTGATATCATTGTTCCAGCTCGGGTCATGTGGTCAGCAGGCCAGGGGCGCGGCACGGCGTGATGAGGCGCGCGTGCGACAACCTTGCCTGGCCGGTGGTGGCGTGCGCGCTGCTTATGGCATGCGCGCGCGCCGATGCCGCAGGCGACAACAAACTACCCACGGGAAGTAAGTAATCATGGTTTTCCCCGATGATGTAGTTTTTTCTGCATTATATGCACAATTCGGATTTACTGAACTAGGTAGATCGAATATTATCCTCGTATTATAGGTATAGAAGAAAATAGAATTGGTTCACCTACCTCAGTAATTTATAGTTTCAATAGGGATAATGACAGAGTATGAAAACTAAAACACTAATTAGTGCGTTATTTTTTATTTTTTCGTCTGTTATAAGAAAACATTAACATAACATAACATCACGCCTTTTTATCGCCGAAGGGGTAGGCAGAGGTGCACATTTCGGCACTTAATGCCACTGTGAAATGTAACACCCACTTTTCACTATTTATGTTATGAGTCGCATGTAGTATGGGGAGACAAATTATAAGAAAACAATGCTTAGATAAAACGAATCAGTGTAGAAGTGGGAGCTAGCTACGTCATTTTTGAGCATAAAACGTAGGTACATAAAGGTCACTCGATATTTTAAATCAATGTATATCTTGTATATATAAAAATCAATTGCTGTTCGTTAGTCTCGCTAAAACTCGAGAATGGCTAAACCGATATAGCAAATTTTTGTCTTGAAACGTTCGTGGAAGTCCAGGGAAGGTTTAAAAGGTGAGAAAACAAATAGGCCGTACGAAGTTTGCTGAGTCAGCTAGTATATATATATATATAAAAGTATTATTGATTTACATAACAAAATAAAAGTTATGTGGCTAATGATTTTAAATAATGTACCAGATGGACATTAAAAAAAAGTAGTCATCTACCGTCGGTCACCGGTGACCCTCATGGCGTTTAATATGTTAATTTATACGGGTGATGGTTTATACTATACTATTCTAACTTATCAGTATCAGCATCTACGCAAAATCCGCGAAGAAAATAATCGCTTGCAAAAGAAAATAGATAATAATATTTTTATAAAAAATGTTAAAATTCAATTAGTTACTCAAAAATGGCTAAGCTTTGGATGGGGGTTCCATAATCAAATCAATCATGTGTGCTAGACCCGCTGAGGTGTAAACCCAAAAGACCAAATAAAATTGATTGCAACTTTTAAAAATTGATTATACGCTGATTCAACTTGAGTTGGTACACGTAGTCGTCGGCCGTCCATCGTCATACACCTAGCGTGTACCATGGATTTGTGAATGGCGATTGTACCGTTTACGGACGGTACACGGCGCGGTCTACTGTAACTACTGGTAGTTATTAAACTGTGATATTAAAGTGGTAGTTACCTTTTATTAAAGCCTATTACTAGGTGGTCTTTTGTACTTAATTATCTGTTTGTATATAAGTACTTATGAAGACTTGGAAGAAAAAGAAAATGTATATCACGATTTTATTTTGTACCTATATTGTTACTTTAAATTTTGTTATTACTCAGACTTCATTGGCACGCCGTCAAGCGGAGGTAAAGCCTAGTATGAAATACGCAACATAACACTCTGAGCGTACGGATTACTCATATAAAAATATAAATTTTATTGCCGACCAGTACGTACTCGCGTGTAGATGGGAAAATAAAGTCACACGCTTGATCATTACTTGTTCTAAGACTACCTATATGGTGCGCGATGCGCGGCTGCGCCTGCTCACTGCTGGCTCTGTCTCTGTCATTTATACTTCTCTCGTATCCTCAGTGGATATATTTATTATTTTTGATATGTTCAAATTACATCATCCTTTCAGCAAGATTGGTTATTCGTTTAACGATAAATCTCTTTTGACCTAGTCTCGAAAACGAATTCAGTTTGCTATTTAAAATTTGTATTGTCCACATTGCTTTACGATATACGCATGAGCTATGCACGTGCAATCAAATTGAGTACAATCAGTACATATAAGTACCCACGACATTTTTATGGCCACCGAGGTACATGTACCGTGCCTGATATCAACCGACGCGACGCTGTATTTTTTACATAATGTAAAGGGCGTATTGTTAACAACTAAATAAGCAGATTTTAATGTTCGTCGGTAATGAATTAACTTGTTAGCTATGTATGTTATTGCGTACTTTTTGCCGGTGCGGTGTTTGTAGTTGAGGCGGCCGCGGTGTTGCGCGAGTGGAACGCGTCGCACAGCGAGCATGAGTATCGACTATCGTGCCTGCCGCCGTTTAATCCGCGAGATAACGACTCGCCTCGATGTGTTGTTTGTTTGTAATTCTCTGTTCGACGACCGACGAGCTAGTGAGGCCTCGTTTAGGAGGCGCCCCTGTTATCTTGTGAACCGGACCGAAATTCACTCGCCCGTGTAATATGCGCACTGATATTGGAACGTTTGGAACTTGCCAATTTTAAACCACCAATTAACATACTTGCTTTCATTGTTATTGTAGGTAGTTAGGTACTGGAAACGAGACGTCTGTCAAATGCGGGCTAGTTAGTGTATTTACTGGTACCTACTCGGAATTCTTTCTAAGCGAGATACTGTTTGGCTACTAATTAAGAACTCTACGCAACTGTGTATAGTATTCTAAAACGAATCTAACATAACATAACATAACATCACGCCTTTTATCCCCGAAGGGGTAGGCAGAGGTGCACATTACGGCACTTAATGCCACTGTACAAT